TAGTGGTGATGGGTGGTGATGAAGGCAGCAATGATGATGGTGATGATGGTGATGATAATGGTAATGATAATAGTGGTGATGGGTGGTGATGAAGACAGCAATGATGATGGTGATGATGGTGATGATAATGCTGATGATAATAATGATGGTGGTAATGATTATGGTGATGATGGTGATGATGAAGATGCTGATATTGATGGCAATGTTGATGCTGATGATGTTTATGATGGTTGTGATGATGATGGTATCATTATGATTTTGATGACGATGACGATGGTGATATTATTAATGATATTAACACATATTTCACTTACAGGTTCCAGATCAACAGGTCGTACTCCTTGCAGACTATTATCATTTATCCTGGCACCATGTTCTACCAACAGATGAGAAACTTCAAGGTTCTGCTTGCAACCAACTGACAAATGTAATGGCGTACAGCTGCCAACAACAAGAGCATCAAATTTAAAAATAATACCAATCAATATTATCAACATTGAAATCATCCTCAGGACGTTTACTTATATAAGTTATGTCCACCAGTTTATAAACCTGAATTTGAAAAAAAATATGTCCTAAAGGTTTCTAGACCGCTGCTCTAACACGGAACTATCAGCCCTTGTTTGTCAGTTTTCTGGAAGTTTTTTGATTTTTTCCAGATCTAATTTGTTTGCCACTCCTGAGTGCACAGCTTAACAGGTTTTGCAGCCCAATTGATAAGCCAGCTGATAGATTGAATTAGAATTTAGAAGTTGATTTTTGTGGAGGGAGGAAAAACCAGAGAACCTGGAGAAAAAGGCCTTGAAGGACAGGAGAGAACAACTTTACTTATATACGACACATATCTGCCAGGACTCGATCCCAGGTCACAATGGTGCGAGGAGTTGCATTAACAGCGTACATCACCCATGCTTCCCCAATCATTAAGAGCATTGATAATCTACTTACAAGGCATTATCCTTAGCTCTGACATTAGCTCCATAACTTAGTAACATCTGTGTCGCAGTTCTATTTCCCTCGGTTGCTGCTATATGCAGTGGTGTCTTGTCTTCAGGTCCCTCCCAGTTCACTTCTGCACCTCTGTTACAATAAAAGAAGATTACACTTTACTCTGAAATATAATATTCTAATTTACAATTTCCGTGATATATGGTTTCTGTTCAATGTGTAGTTCCAGAAACTATCCATACCCCCCATGGAGGAATTTTTATAAAGACCCATACCCCCCCCCCCCCGAGAAATTTAAATTTTCTTCCATACGGACCCTGTAAATTTGTTCTTTCTCTGACCTCTCCTGCTCCTCAAAAATTCCAAATTTCTCTGAAGGGGGGGTGGGGGGTATGGATAATTTGTGGAACTACACAATAAGCCTTTCTGAGGTTGAGGATAAACTTGGTCAAGTTGGCATTGCAATGCATTGTAAGACTGTTAGGGGAAAAATAGACCCTATCTTGGAAATATGTCCCTAAAACAGATTTTCCTCAATCTTGGAATGGCTGATGGGTCAGGACATTACATTAACATCCATTTTCAGACTTAATGTGACAATTCCCAACCAATTCCCAACCTATGGGTTTTTGGCTTTCGTCACTCAAAAAATGTTTTATTTTGCACTGTTTTGCACTTTAATTGGCAGAAGCCAAAAAAACAGATATCTGGAACTCTTGCTCAGTGAAGATGCCGAATAGATGGCGTAGTGGGTGTTAGGGGTTCTTACCGTCGCAACAAGAATTGAGCTACTTCTGCCTGTCCCATTGAAACAGCATGGAATAGCAAGCTCTTCTGGTTATTGTCGCTAGCATTTTCAGACATGCCATTATCAAGATACTTCTCTACTGCTGCCACATCTCCCCTAATTCATTGACAAGCACCATTTGCATTCATTAGTAATTAGGAGAAAGATCATCATTTCTGTCGACCATCCTCACCCTTCTATGCATGGGAGTCTCCCCAGGGAAACATGTGCCAAATTTGTTAGCCCCCCTAATGTCAATTATCATTGAAATTTTTAAATGGTTCTCCAATACCTAAGTGACCCTTTTTGATGGACCTTCCCTTAATCCCCCCAGCCCCCCCCCCCCCATTCTAGAATATGAATACTCCCTATTGATGCCAAATTTTTTGATGTCAAAATTGATGCCAAAATTTATGACCCTTTCTCTTTTTGATGGACCTCCTCTTAATCCCCCCAGTCCTCCCCGCCCCTTTTAAATATGAATACTCCCTGTTGATGTCAAAATTTGTGACTTGTTTATCCTACCTTAGAACAGCTTCTAATGCAGGCTTGAAGTTCTCATCCTCGTCCAGGAAGAAATTTGTTTCTAAGGTTAGGGGTAAACTGGAATATAAAAAGAGGTATATTCTATAATTTATACAATAGTTGAGAGTGCTATACCATGAAATATCCCATGAGTCACTTGTATTTTCTAGTGCGCATGTCAGCCTTCTGGTGAGTGAATATACAAGCAAATAATACAAGTGACAAGTGGTATATTCTAAGGTTTGCCAGGAGAAAGCTGCCATTGTATAACTATTATATACAAGTGACAAGTGGTATATTCTAGGGTTTGCCAGGAGAAAGCTGCCATTGTATAACTATTATATACAAGTGACAAGTGGTATA